CTTGTTTGGCTATCAAATGCCAGTTGGTCATAAAAAATTGTTGTTGTTAAGTCCATTGAGTCAGTTCTGACCCATAGCGACCTTGTATAGAGTTTCCAAGGAGCGACTGGTGAGCTTGAACACTGACCTTGCAGTTCAAACAGCTTTGCAGCCTGGCACATTAACCCACAGTGCCACACCAGGACCCCTTTGCTTCCATCTATATGCTTGGAGTCCTGGTGTGGTGCTGTAGGATCAGCACAGGACTGCTAATCATAAGGTCAATGATTCAAACCCACCAGCCACTCCTCAGAAACCCTATACAAGGTCACTATGAATCAGAACTGACTTAACAACAACGTATACTTGTTATATCTCCCCCAAAAGACCCCATAATTTAGAGGAAGAGTTTCATTGCTCATGAACTCTGGAGTGGAATGAGAGGGAGGGACCCAGGCTGCCAGGATCATTGCCTATTTATGGAAGGTAACATTTTATTTTGAAATATCTTTTTTTTTTCTTTTTTATTATTATTTTAATAGACCCCAGGGTATTTGTGTCCCAGGGGAAAAAGAGCACAAGGAAGTGCTGGAAAATGTTTTAAATGTCAAAGCCATTCACAGGTAAGAATTAAATAAAAATAAAGTTACAAATGAAAACATACATTTAAGTTTCCCTGCACTGCAGTCAGAGGGGACTTCTGTTGTTGTTAGGAGGCTTTGAATTGGTTCTGACTCATACTGACCCTGTGCACAATAAAACAAAACACGGTCCGATCCTTTGCCGTTCTCACAATGTTGCTATGTCTAAGTCCGTTGTTTCTACCATTCTGTGTCAATCCATCTCGTTGAGGGTCTTCCTCTTTTTTGCAGACCTTCCACTCTACCAATAAGGGGCTCGGGTAGCGTAGTGGTTACGAATCGGGCTGCGAACCTTAAGGTCAGCGGTTCGAAACTACCAGCCGCTCCGCGGGAGAAAGATGAGGCTTTCTACTCCCGTAAAGATTTACACCCTCGGAAACCCTGTACAGGGTCGCTATGGGTCGGAACCGACTCGACGGCACTTAACAACAACAACAACAACAACCACTCTACCAAGCATGATGTCCTCCTTCAGGGACTGATCCTTTTTTCCCAAAGAACAAAAGAGGAAGTTTCACCATCTTCATTTCTAAGGAGTATTTTGGCTAAATTTTATCCAAGCCATATTTGTTTGTTCTTCTGAAAGTCCATGGTACCTTCAATACTCTTCACCAACATCATAATTCAAATACATCTATTCTTATATAGTCTTCATTAGTCATTGTCCAACTTTTACATACATATGCAACTATTGAAAACACCATAGTTTGGGGCAGGCACACTTGAGTCCTCAAACAGATACCTTTGATCTTGAACACTTTAAAAAGTCTTTTGCATTGAAATATCATTTTTGGTTAGGTCTGTGTTGCCCATGGATTTGTTTGAAGGAAACATTAGACAGAGGGACTGTAGAAGTTTTTTGTTTTCAATAACTCTTTTTTAAAAATTATTGCCCATTTGGTTATGGGCATTTTTCTAAGTCAGACTCTTCAGAGGGGCAGGCTCATCATTCACCTCTGAGGAATGCACCCACCCTATTGGCAAGAGCAATTGTTTTGATTCCATGGTTACTTGATTAGACCAGAAAGACCTAAGTTTATCCATCTGTGAATTCTCATAATCAGCAGAGCATCTGAGATCTCAATGTCTTGATATTTCTTGCTGTTATAGTTTGAAGTGCCAATAAAATAATCTCCAGGGTCAGGCAATAAAAAAAGAATTTCACATTTTATCTGACTTTTAAGATGCTGAGATACACTGTAATGGACTGGTTGGTTATCTTGCCTATAAAGGTTACAAAACACTTCATGGATCATCCTTTCAGAGTGATAAGATTAAAAAGAGGACAGACATTATTTCATTGTAAAGAGCATGATTACCAAAACATATTCAGATGCTTTTTATATAACTTTGAGTAAGGGGTTTTACTGTAGGAAGACCCCTAGATATGAGGCTGATCCTTATTTCTGCTGCTAACGTCCTGACAGTAAACTAGAACAATACATGAAAAGAAAGAATAAATATTCTATGAAAGGGCTTCAAAAAATTTGTGGAAAAATTCCATTATCTTTTCATTCCATTTTTCCATGAACTTTTTGAAGCTCCCTCATATACCCTCGGTTGTCAAGTCAATTCCAACTCATAGTGACCCTAAGACAGAGTAGAACTGCTACTCTAGGTTTCTAAGGCTGACAAGTTTTACAGAAGCAGACTGCAACATTTTTCCCCCACAGAGTGGTTGGTGGGTTTGAACCGCTGACCTTCCAGTGAACAGCCCAGTGCTTAAGCCACAGAAGGC